AATCTAGTCAGCCTTTTAGCCATGTATGGCTAAATCTAGCATATTTAACTAGACATTTAGTTTTAAGAAATTTCGGGACTCCGGAATCCTGGCCTTTTTTGTATAAATATATATATATATATACAGCCTGTTTAGAATAAAACCGAATATATCTATATATATATGGGGCGTGGCCTCGCCTCCCTCCAAGGCGCGTCACAGTTGCTTGTGTAATAAACGACATGACGAAAGGTCGAGCAGGTAAGGACTTAAAAAATTAAATGATAATAATGCAAAAAATCTCATTAGCGATGCAGTCTATTTGCTTAGCTACTGTGTCGCGCGTTGGAGGGAGGCGAGGCCATGCCCCATATATATATATATATATATAGATATGTTCGGTTTTAGTCTGAAAGAGCTGTATATATATATATATGTTCTGGTTTTATTTTTGTGATCTAAGCACTGTCTACATATTAGATTAATAAACCAACCGATAATGATGATATGATTAAACTAGATAATGAAGACTGAATCCGATACTATACCATTTATACAGGGTATTCATGCTAATATTTCAAGATGTAATTTCTCAGATCATTTTATGAAGAAAACTAAGTTTTTATAAACGTATGTGTATTAACATGTTTATATAACTTCTCTTTATAAAATGCCTTAACAAATTTCACCTTGAAATATTAACAGCTCAAGAATTGAAATTTGAAATCGGTTTCAAATCATAAAAAAAATTCCTGCAAAATTTTAGATTAATCGGTCAAAGGAAACACGTGCCCCACAGGGTTTTTTTGAGAAATAATTGAGAAAATTCGAAAGGCTGATATAACTTCGAAACGGTCTATCGTAGGAAAAATTTTGTAGGTTAATTTATGATATACAACTTTCTTAATTACAGTTCTGCGTAAAAAAAAAATTGGACTCAAAAAGCGATAAAATGCTACTACTACTACACCTACTTTTTTAATTTTCTGTCCCAGAGCATCGACCCAATAAATTGTAGGGGACATTGCGACCTAAATTTTATGTTGACAATATTTTTTTCTTAAACTTACCGATTTTGGAAAAAAATAAATCCATAACTTTTTGAGTTTTTCCAAAAACACTTCACCATCATTAAGAAAGTTGAAAAAAATACAAAATTTATTTTAACTTTTGTTTCCTACAATAAAACGTTTCGGAGTTATAGAACGACGTGTTTTTGGTGAAAAATCAAAAAGTTGTGGATTTAATTTTTTTTCAAAATCGGTAGGTTTAGGAAAAAAAAATTGTTCAACAAAAAATTTAGGGCGCATTGTCCCCTACAATTTATGTCATTGGGTCGATGCTCTAGGACATAAAATTTAAAAAGTAGGTGGCGCTAAAGTGCCCAAAAAAGAATATTATCGCTTTTTGAGCCCAGTAGGAAAGAAAGTTGTTTATCATAAATAAACCCACAAAATTTATATACACTTTTTTTTCCTGCGATAGACCGTTTCGAAGTTATATCAGCCTTTCGAATTTTCTCAATTATTTCTCAAAAAAACCTTGCAAAACCTTTGACCGATTGATCTCAAATTTTGCAGGATTTTTTTTATGATTTGGAACCGATTTGGGGGCGCCTCTGTTAAATTTTTTCATACACCTAAATAAGGAACACCCTAATATATAAATATATATATTAGGGTGAGCCAAAAAAACTAACCTATCGGATTTATGGGTTAAAATGAACCTACATACCGAGCAAAAAATTTCCCTGCAAGGCAAAATTTTTTGCAGTTTTAGTGATTTTTTACACTTTTCAAAGCTTTCAAACATACGAATTTTTGAATTAAAAAAAATAATCCTGGTATAGGTTCTTTGGGAAATTTTATGCTCTACAAGAATCCGTGACGTAAAAAATTTTATCTCAAACGGTTCAAAAGTTATAGTCTTTTTAATGAAAAACGTGTTATTTCAATGGAAAACCGACACCTTTTAAAATTGAGCAAAAAATTTTGCCTTGCAGGGAAATTTTTTGCTCGGTATGTAGGTTCATTTTAACCCATAAATCCGATAGGTTAGTTTTTTTGGCTCACCCTAATATATATATATATATATATATATCTATATATATATTGCAAAGACTGAAATGCCTTCCATCTCGCCACCGAGCCGGGCTCGAAGCGCGTCTCCCGAATGGTATGGTCCAATGACTAATGCACCATACCCACCAACACTGACAGATAGCCTGTTTCGACCTGTTGGGTCAGTGTCAGGCAGTCGGTGACGGAAGACACTCATCAAGCTCGGCACTATTAACTTATAAAGAAATAAGTGACCAGGACAGCAGCGAGATGTATCTGCAAGTCAGTCTGGAGACATCTACCGTCAAAAAACGTGGCCTCGCTGTGCGGCGTGCAATCACAATGCACTTAGACACACACAGTGGTAGGTTTACTCAAACCGTACGCGGCCCAAAAGTCAATCAGTCAGTCTTTGCAATATTGGTTGCCTACTTCTTTTAAGAACCAAAAACAGACAACACGGAGCAGATCCCGGAAATCCATCAATACATATAACGCCCGTAGAAACCCATATATATATATATATATATATATATATATATATATATATATATATAGGTTTAAAAGAACCGTATGTCTGAGGACGTTTCGGTTCAATCTCAGGTACCATCTTCAGGTCTTATCTGCTTGGCTGCTGTTGCTGCTCTGCTGCGAGTTAGACGTGAAGTAAGTTCCGAGCTTTCGGCGTCATTACCTGTGACTGCGATTGTCCTTGTGTTATATTTGGCGTCAAGAGCTGGTTTTCATGCAGTTTGTTGTCTCTGTGTATCGTATCTTGTGTTGAGGTTTCTTGGACGTTTTTCTATTTCAATACCTTCACGGATGGTAAGTTTGATCATGTCTTCGATGCTAGCCAAGACCCTTGTTTTATCAAAGTCAATTTCATGGAAGGTTTTTCGGACGTGTTCAGCTAGGGAAGATGTTTTTTCATGTTTTAAGACTGCGTTACGATATTCTTCGCGTCGAACGTTGATATGTCAATTGGACTGTCCACAATTCTTACAAGGAATTTCGTACACCCCTTGTGCCTTCAATTATATTTTTGGTTTGGCGTTTGGAAGTATTTGACCGATCTTTCTTGGGGCGGTAAATGTGGTCGCAATGTTTTTTGAGAACTTTGCCTATTCTCTCGGTTGTCCCTTTGACGTAGGGAAGGAAGGCCTTCGAAGTTGGTCTGTTGTTCTCGTTCTCTGTAGTATTTAACCGGCATCGTGGTCTAAAAGCCTTTTTAATGATGGTTTTGGAGAATACGTTTTGCTGTAGCGTCGTTTGGATTTTCCGTTCTTCTTGTTTCTTGTGGTCATCATCCGCCAACCTTTCAGATCGCGTGACAAGGGTCTTAATGACTAACTGCAGTTGTGACGGGTGGTGGTGAGACTGGGCTTTGAGGTGTAGACCGTGTGCCCTAGTTTCCCATTATTTTTCTTGATTATGAGGACATCCAGGTAATTGGTGTTCTTTCTCGGTTTCTCGGTTTCCAATTACCTTTTCTGGTCAAACAGTAAATAGTAAAATGCGTAAAACGCACCAAAGCATTGACCTTTGACGTCGGGGATAAAACAAATAAAATTTACATTTTTTTAATTTTTAATGTTTATTAATAGTTATTACTTGCATCAAATTTAATTTACATAGTAAAAATTCCAAAATGTCTTAACATGAATATAATATATTATGATACATAAAATATATACACATGTAATGAAAACAAAATAATCATAAATAATGATAAAAAAAATTAACAAAAGAAAAAAACATGAGGTAAAGTAAGAAATTTAGTCCCTTTTTAATGTTGTATTTCTATTTGTCACTTCAGATGTTGAAAGAGCAGTCTTTAATTAATCTATTTTAGAGAAGAAAAAAAGGAAAAGGCGGAAGGGCTAGACGGCAGCACAAAAGGAGAATGTTTAACGCGTTGTTAGATGCAAAATATTCAAGAAAAAATATTACTTTAGATAATTATGTCTGGGACGCTTAGGCCAGTGCATAATTACGACTCTAATAAAATGGCAAAAATCTGCAGTTCTCAAATAATTAAAAAAAACTGTTAACCTGTCAAAACCAATACTCGTAATAATTTTATTTTGTTATTCCTGAGAATTTTGAAGTTACATGTAAACATACCTACACATTTATCTACATTTTCATCCATTGTATGATTTTTTTGCCCACTAGATTTGGAGTTACCACCACCATTTTTTGCTTATCCTACGGCCGCTATACTGGAATGTTATATGGGATGTATCAAACTACAAAGTTATGGCGGCCATTATAAAAACAAAAGATGGTAATTACGGTCAACGGTAACTCAAAATAGATAAAATAGAATAGCGAAGAAATTGGATGATGTTTGCATGTAAACTTACTTTTTTTTTAAATTTTTGTCTTTAAAAGGTTTTTAGTTTTTATATATTTTGAGAACCGCTGGGTTTTTTTCCAATTTATTCTAATATAATCGACCTCTACAGCTATCAAAATTTCGCGGGGGGGGGCACACTTGCTTAGTTACGCCACTGACTTACGCCCCTTTTCTCGTCACATGCTCTGTATTTTTAATGACCAATAATAATTATTATAATGACTTATGTCATTAAGTCGGTTTTAAGTAATAATATTATGGTGACAGTTTTTTTTCATTCTAATTCTTGTACGCTTTTTTATTAATAAAACTGTATATTGCTACTTAATAATTTAAAAGGTTAGTCAAGCTAGAATAGGATTCTGACCAGTGCAATAGGTCAAAACTAAATTTTATTTTTTGATTTAAATTATTTTGAGAAATTTAAATAAATTAAATCTTTAGCAAATTAAAAAATTAAATGTAAATATCCAAAATCTGAAAGCACAAAAATCTTATAAAAAATACTGCAGTGCTTAGTAAAGTTTGGCGCAACCAGCGAATGACAGAAAACAAGAAAATTAGATTATTAAAGACAGAAATTGAGACAGATAATCACTTACCCCGTCGTTGTGGTTCCAAAATATGTAGGCAGGTGGCTCAGGACTGTGCCTGACCACGCAGGTAAGGTTGATAGTGCTGCCGCGATCAATGAACAGCTCAGGACCGCCCACGATCTCGGTGTCTGGCTCTGAAATCCAAAAAATCCACGAATTAATCACCAGTAGAACGTTCTTTATGCACAGTTACGACAGCGTATCGAATTGTCTCTGAACATTATTTTTTTATAAAACAGTATTATATACTTATTTATATGTATAGGTACCTAAAACAAATACTTAAAAAAACAGTTTTATATAAATTTTAAATTATTAAAAGATTAAAAGTGTAAGTGGACAATTAAAACAAAATTTAAATTATTAGCGGAGACGATGTATTTTAAAATAATTTAGTATGTCTACTAACAGCACATGCACAGACAATTTTTTTTAAATGGAATTATATTTTTGTCATTTTATGGAAAGGATAGAAAATAATTTTCTTAGTACTTCGCAGCAAAAAAGACAAAACCGCGCTAATGGGGGCCAGAACCCACATGCCTCACCAGTCGAGAATCATCCAGAAATAATCTAATCGACTGGATTTAACTACAACAAATAAACTACACTGATCTTGATCATTTAAAAGTAGGTACTTTTGTATTATCTATCTGCTGAAAAGCAAAAACCACTAAGACTTTCACCAGCACTCAACTTCAAGAAACACCTTTACATGGAAAATTACCCCATACGCAGAGCAATGTGACGGCAAAAGACGACGAAACATCTCTTCACATTATGTATTACTCTGAAGCACCATAAAAGGGACAGAATTGGGAGAGCCAAAAATCATACCACAATATATTAAATCACTTAATAGAAGCAACAGAGTTTAAAGTATGAAAGTGAAACCATTTGGGGCACAATAAAATTGCTAAACAAATTGCAGTGCAGGTCCCTGAACCAGTTAACGGGGGAGTTTTACTTTCCGCGGTAAAATACATCTCTAAACCATGTCAACTTCAGGTACCTTATATGAACTGTTTTCGTAGACACAAATTTAAATTAAATTAGTTATTATTATTATATTATTAGTTAAATATGCTAAAATCTATAAAAATAGATAATATATGCAAATGAAAATATGATTGGATTTGAGTATTTGTGTTAAATTAATGATTATACAAGAATACGCATAGGTAATTAATTAATAAATGTTTAAGAAATAAAATTAGTTTTAATTTTTGCTTGTGTTTGTCGTAGATAAAGTATAGTATGTAACTCGTTATTAAACACTCGCAAGCTTTGTTAGTGTCTAATTAAAACTCTTGAATAAAATGCCGGTTATCAAACATAAGACTTAATTTCTAAAATGTATAATCTTAAACCATTGATAAGTTTTTTTAACCGGTTTTATTAAGGTTAAGGTAATTTGCCTATCATAACCTTAGTGAAATATTTTAATCCGAACAGCAGCTGATCATTTGCCTACCATAACCTTAGTGAAATATTTTAATCCGAACCATAAACCTTAGTGAAATATTTTAATCCGAACAGCAGCTGATCATTTAAAAAGCAGACTCAATATATTACTAGTAAACAAACAAGTCAAAATAATTAAGAGAGTACCATTATAGAACTATTCAATATAGTCAATGTTTATAATAATACTGGACTCATCTTTCTTTACGGGGGGATATTAAACATAATATGTTTATTATTTAGCAATAGGCAATATTATATGTGGCAATAGGGTGGTACTTATTTGGGATATTTTAGAATTGTTATGTTCCCATGCTGTAGGGGCTTAATAGTATATTATGTATCAAGTTTGATAAACGCCATTTTATACACGAATTTAATTTAGGCACGAGCGAGTGCTTAAGTTAATGAGTGTATAGAAAAGTTTATAAACGAGGTGCATACTATAATTTTTCTACGACAAATTCTTATTATTATAAATAAATAAATAAATAAATAAAGTTTATTTAGCCAAAGCTATTTTTAACAAACAATTTGTTTATTTACAATTTTTGTTACATACAAATCTTTAACAAAGGTAATCTCTTAACATTTTTTTAAAACTATTATAATTATCACAAAATTTAATACTTTGCGGCAAGTTGTTAAATAATTTCAAACCATTGGAAAAAATACTCTTTTGCGTCCTACTTTTTTTACAAATTCTAATATAAAAATCTTTATTTTGTCTGGTTTCATATGTATGCACCTGATTTAAATAACATATAACTATACAAATATTCAGGTACCATTTTATTTTTTATTTTAAAAATTATATCTAAAGCTTTAAAAGTAATTCGTTGCTTAACACTCATAAAACCCAATACTTCTAACATTAATTTAATTGGTGTATATTTACTACATCTTCATACAGTACGTAAAGCTCTATTTTGTATTACTTGAAGCTGTGAAACTTCATTTTGATTTAAATTTAAAAGGACAGTTGAACAAAATTCAAGGTGAGGTAAAAATAATGACTTATACAATAAAATATTAACATATAAACTTAATTGTTTCCCTATCCTATTTAAAAAGTACACTTTTTGGACATTTTAGACATAACATAATTGCAGTGACTAAAGAAATTTAAATACTGATCCAAAATAACACAAGTATTTCATCTCTTTAACCCTATTCAGGCTAATATTATTGATTATTAAATCTATATTATATTAGAAATTTTAAAATTTGAACCAATTACCATATATTTACATTTATTTATATTAAGACGCAGATTATTATCACACAACCAGTTATTTAGAGAAAATAAATCATCATTTAACATATTTACCATTTCATCAATATTATTTCCACAGACATATAATTTAGTATTATCAGCAAACATTGAAACATTGCACTTATTAACATGATTAATCATATCATTAACATATATTATGAATAACAATGGACCCAAAACTGTACCTTGAGGTACTCCATTTTTTACATACATTTTGTTAGATACATGTTTATTAAACTTTACATTTTGAGTTCCATTAGTGAGATATGAACTAAACCATTTAAGTGCATTACCTGATATTCCAATTTTTTGCTAGTTTTTTTAATAAAAGTTCTCTATTAAATGTTTCAAATGCACGACGAAAATCCAAGAATATAGCAATAACCACTTCTCCCTTGTCCAATACATTAACCCATTTATTACAAATATTTAAAATGACAGTTTCACACGAATGCTTATTCCTAAAACCTGATTGACACATGTTTATCACAGAATTTATATCACTATATTCAACTAATTGATTTTTAACACATAATTCTAAAATTTTCTAAAATGAACACACAGTATTTATGGGTCTAAAATCTTCACATTTGGTGGAATTTGTGATTTTTTGAATAGGGATAATTGTTGAGTTCTTCATACAATTTGGGAATTCACCATACAACAATGAGTTGTTAACAATATCAAGAAATTAATTACCTATCACTTCATATGCATGTTTTAAAAAGAGGGTGGTTATTCCATCTACATCTGCAGTTTTTTAAGGTTATTTATTATTTTCTTTAAATCTGACATAAAAATTGGTTCAAACTTATTAAAACGTTCACAAAATTGAATTTTAGGCAAAACATTATCATTATTACTTTTAGGTATATTTTTCACAATATCATCGATACTCTGTAAAAGGTATTTATTAAATTTATCTGCAATTATAATTCGGTCATTTATTTTTATTTTCTCAAACTCAATACTTGATGGTGCATTATTTTTATTGTTTATTAATTGTTTTAAATTTTTCCATAACTCTCTGCTATTGTTTTTATTTTCATCTAATACTGAGTTAAAATATTCCTCCTTATTTGTTCTAATCGTACTTGTCACATAATTTCTAATCTTTTTAAATTCATTTCAGTCCTCCTCCTTATCAGTTATTACAGCCCTTTTATACATTTGGTTCTTTTCTTTTATTAGTTTAGTTACCCTTCCATTAATCCATTTATTATGTTTGTGCTTACTATTTATTGTTTTGTTTTTTATTGGACACATGATATCAATAGTATTTTTTAAATTGTTCCAGAAACACTCCATTAAAAAATTTGTATCTGTACTATTATTTTTCCACTTTTTTGCCATTAGTATTTCTTGAAATAATTGTTTATTGTACCGATTGAGAGATATTGGATTTTAATTTCCTTGATAGTTTCTATTTCTAATTCAAAACTTACTATCATATGGCCATTAATTTTCGGTGTTTTATGTACTATACACTTCATATTTTTGTTATTTGTAATTACATAATCAATTAATGTTCTACTGTATGCTGTTACTCTTGTGAAGTCATTAATTACTTGATAAAGACCATATTGTTCTATTATTTCTTTACATTTCTTTCCATAATGCGTATAATTTTTCCAGTCATAGTTAAAATCCCCTACAATTAAGTGTGTTTCATTAATAGTACTGTACTCTTCTAAATGTTCTTTAAAATGTTCAAGGAATACTAAATTATTTGAATTAGGTGATCTATAGATTGTAGTTAAAGCATACTTTATCTTACCTATTTTAATATTAATTGTTAAAAACCATATTAAATCGTTTATATTTTTCTTTACTTTAATTTTAAACTTTAACTGTTCTAAAATAAATACCTACCAGTATTCCACCTGTTCTTCTGTTTTGTGTATTACATTGTGCATATTTGTAGCCTGGTATATTAATTTCTGATTCTTGCACTGTATCATCTATAAGACTTTTCACTAAACAAACAACCAAAGGACGCCATACTTTTAACAAGCAATATATTTCATCTTTATTATGTTTAAAACCCTGACAATTTAAAAATACTATTTAATTAGATTTTATTTGCTATAATTGAGTACGATCATACTCTCTATTAACATTTCTCATATAACATTTTTTGTCAAAAGCTGTATGAGAACAATCAACATTAATTTTAAGTACTCCTTTTGCATAAGTACAGTTCATGCAATTAAAATCTTTAGATTTACAATCTTTTGTCAAATGATCGGTTTTAGAACATTTAAAGCAAGTACTTACTTCCTGTTTACATTTTTCAGCAACATGTCCAAATCTTCCACATTTATAACATTGCAATATATTTATCTTAAAATGATTTAAATCAAAAATTTGTATAGAGTGCCATCTATGAAACAACAGGGGAAACTGTCATATGTCACATTTTTACATTTTATAAACACAATTATAAAGGTTATAAATCGAAATGTATCTTGAAAATTGACAGTTTTTCACAATAAAAGTAAAGGAAATGTTTTATGAGGACTTTACAGTAGAGTCCGTGCCCGAACTTAAGTTATAGTTTACTGTCGGCGAAATTAAAAGGTCAGTACAATGTTCATATAAACTTTTCAAATATTGGCGTTTAATATTTTTGTATTGAGATAATAAAATAATTTTTACATTTAGTATTATTTTACAAGAAAGGCACTTAATTTTAACGATTGTATGACATTTGACAACTGTCAACTAACTTAAAATTAACTTCAACCCGTGACTAAAGCGCCGTAAAGCCACAACTTGTCAATGTGTATTTAAAAGGTCACTTAGTGTCATGGAAACATGTACGATAAAGTTTTTAAAGGTGGGAGTAGAGAAACGCTTTTAAAGCTTACATTTTTAGGGATTTTGTTCTTAATTTAGGAGCGTTTAAGCCACTGGGTGAATACTAATTTAAAAATACCAATACCAAGACATTAGTTATTAATAAAAGCTTATTATGTGCTTGTGTATCTTCACTTATTCTATATTATTATAATTCTATGGTATATGCCATGGTACAAGCAAAACTTCTTGTTACAAGAAAA